AAAACGCTGGAGAAACGCTGGTGAAGCTAGATCGATAGCTATGCTTCCCGTGCCCTCGCTACGCCAGCGTGCGCTGGTGACGCTGGTGAAGCTAGATCGATATGCATCCTCTCTTCGGCACTGCCGCTGGCGTACGCTGGAAGCGCTACGCTACGCTGCCGCAAAGTATAAACGCAGCCTTACAAGCCTCTTCATATGCAGCGCGATAAAGTGTACTTTGCTCTCTCCCTGAAATCCTGTACTTCCAAAACACAGAAAGCTCGTTCCATCCTGATGTATTAGCTTGAATGCGAGATGCGAGCACATTGCATAAGTGTTCGACACCCCAGAGGAAATACTATGGACCGCAGTGGGAATCGGTCTCTACCCCACTACACGCGCGGAGACCCAGTTCCTGTATGTCGCGGCACGATCTGCCAAACGCTGCTGCGCGCTCGTCCTAAAAAGAACCTCCAAAGTATAAATGGAGAGCCGATCGATCGCAGGTGATTTATTTTTGCTTTTGAAAACTTTTCCTGATCTTAATTGAATGCTTCCTCTGACAAGGGAGGTGTTTCAGGTCATGGCGCGCTTTTTGGTGGTTTGTTGCTTGTTGTAGGGGTCCATACAAGGATCACAAAAATGGGTTTCATTTTTGCTATGCGTTTCTGGGTAGGTCAAAAACTGAGTGAAAAGAATTTGACAAGAATGGGCGGTTTTAACAACCTTAATGGGCTCCGTTCTGCTTGTAACTTCGAGCATGCATAGTTTATGAGGTGGTCACTAATTAGGCCTCAAAATAGATTCGATTAAAGTCAAAATGTAAGTATCATGTGGTAACACACTTGGCATGCATCGACGCAAGAGTGATGTTTTTGTCAGCGAACCCTTCACGACCACTGCCAGCGGATCGGATGGCGCAGTGGATAACACGACGGGTTCTGGATGGCACGGCAAGGGGGGACTTTGTGGATCGGATCCTCTCGCGGAAATGTTTTGCATTTTTCAGCTTTCCATTCATTCGCGTGCCTGTGTGTCTGGCAGTGGAAATAAGTCAAGTATGCCATTTGAAGGCATATACTTGTGGCCACATTGTGGCCTGAAAGCGTGCTTGTGCTGCCCCTCGTAGCTCATGTCAGAAGGGTTATTGCAATGAAATACCATCACATTTATGTTCAGCGGGTTGGATTACCCCTGGGGACTAATTTCTAGCCAAATCTGACGTTTCGACCTAACTTGGAAAATGTGGGCCATTCTATGGACAATTAGCAGCAGGCTGGGGTCCACCCACCATGGATGACTGGTCTTGGGATGGAATTTTCTACCGGTAATCAGGAAAATGATGCAGGCGGCACGAACAAGTGAGCCAGGTATTGTTCTTTGCGAAAAGACATGACTGAAGGGTTATTTCAGTGCAAAGACCAGTCATCACCAGTATGCTAGTCGGAGTATTGGCTATCATCCAGGCGTGACCATCTCTACCCCATTTTTTCGAAGTTGAGTCAGAACCTCGGATTTCCTCAAGGTGGCGTTTCTAGGGGTTGTTTGACCCCCTGAACACGAATATGATATCTATTTCGCACGGAGAGAGCTGTGAGTCGCGCTACAGGTGCAAATTCACTGCGCCAGCCCACCCGCAAGAAGAAAAACAGTGAAGGAAAACCTCCATAACTCCGCTCAGAGAATCGTTCCGCAAATTTTGAAGGTAGTTTCGAGTTCACTGTGTCAAGACGAGTACAATGATATGCACTCACTGCAAATGGCCAGGTTGTCCTGGTGGCCTTTCCTGGATGACACCTTACAAACCAGCACAGTTGTGTGGAGAACCTTGTTTCCGGAAATGTTCACGTCTCGTTGCGTTGATACAGATGCAAAACTGTTGCCGCAATGAGGATCCGAACCGAGTCCCGCATTGTCGTGCCATCCAGAATCCATCGTGCTATCCGCTACGCCATCCGATCCGCCAGCAATGGTCATGAAGGGAGCGCTGACAAAAACATCACTCTTGCGTCGGTGCATGCCAAGTGTGTTACCACATGATACTTACATTTTGACTTTAATCGAATCTATTTTGAGGCCTAATTAGTGACCACCTCATAAACTATGCATGCTCGAAGTTACAAGCAGAACGGAGCCCATTAAGGTTGTTAAAACCGCCCATTCTTGTCAAATTCTTTTCACTCAGTTTTTGACCTACCCAGAAACGCATAGCAAAAATGAAACCCATTTTTGTGACCCTTGTATGGACCCCTACAACAAGCAACAAACCATTTCCAAAAAGCGCGCCATGACCTGAAACACCTCCCTTGTGAGAGTGCACGAATGAACAGGTTGTGACATCGCTACTAGTCGGAGGCGGTGCGGGAAAGGCGGGACGACCCCGCCTCCCGCTGCATTGCTCTACCAGTGGTGATCGACTACTTATCGATTCAGGAAGAAATTAACCCTCGAAGAAAACAGCAGGCGGGGTCAGTTCATCCCTCTTCAGACCTACCTGACTGACTGAATGGTCCCAACCGAATGCTTGCATACAAAGTAAGGTTCCCGTGAAACGCAATCCAGACTTGTTCATGTTTTTCGTCACCTGAACGGCAGTGAATCAAATGCATGATGCTCAGAAACTTATCAGTGGCGCGATGCTGTGTAATCGGATCCCATAAGGTGTCATCATAGCCTTAGTCAGCACCACCCCCATTTCTACAATAATGCTTATCAAACCATCGGCGACAACCCTTTATCGTTTTCAGAGCGGCAGCTGTCATCAGTCGTTTTCCTCTCGTCGTTCTCACCACTCCTTACTCCTTTTGAAGCTCACAATAGATGTCAGACTTGCATTTTCTCCCTAGAACACTTACGTTTTCTAAATAAAATCCAATTGAAGTAGCTGACGAAAATTCTTTCGATCATGCATACCAGACTTCCTAAAATTGCTAGGTCCAAAAAGATTATAGCGGAGTTGCATCGCAGCCTCGACGGCACTTTCAGAGTTAGTTAGTCGGTTGGCACAATGCTTCCAATCAGTAGAGCACCGATCCCCAGACATAGGTGTGATAATAGTTTCGGCTAGAGGATTCGAAGTATTTATTTGCAGTATTGCAGTAACAAGTCCATAACGAGGCCAGTGAACGCCGATTTAGGCCTGAAGCCACCGCAGATAGAACCTTTTCCTGCTCGTCCACGTGATCTCTCGTTTTCCGCCAGCCCAGTCTCTCCTCCGTAAGTGTTGCAACTTGTGCTCGCACAATGCTCAGAATCACTCCTTAGAAAAAGGTCTTGCAAAGAGCATTTCCGAGAATGTTCTCCGATTTCCGCTCTACTACTGCTTCAGTTATCACATTCATTTATATTTGAA